TGTTTTTTTTACGTTTTACAGAGACTCGAAAAACAAACAAACAGGCATTATATTACATTTGACAAGATGGGATCTCACGTATGAAAGTCAACTGAACAAAAGATCACATGCTTTGTCGTAAAAAAAGGAATGTAACGGTAACCTGTGGTCAGGCCCGCAGCGTACATCGATGTTCATGGTGTCGGCCGCGTGATTGTGTGGTCTAAACGTATTTACAGACGATATGACAAACTGTTTCGAGAAATAGGCTTTTGTTTAGCTCAACACTTTCAGTTCAAGGTGGAGCAGTACATATGATTATTGTTGCAGTAGGGTAGCCTAGTAGTTAAAGACCTAGGTTCGGCACTTCACAATGTGTGAAGCCCATTTCTGGTGTCCCCCGCCGTGATGGTACTGGAATATTGCTAAAAGCGGCGTGAAACTAAACTCGCTCACTCACTCACACATGACTTACCATGTTAATGACATACACACATATGAATTTTTTTTTACGGACACCTGTCATCACTACAATTCTAACTGATCTAATCGTTTGATCTTTTTTATTGTTTTGCGTTACATACCCCATGTAGCATGTTTCCCAAGGGTATTGAGACTGATTATTCTCTGGCGTTGAGTCTCAAGCTGTGAGGTTTGGTGGGGAAGCCTTGTGTTTAAAGCGTATGCTGGTCATGGAAGCCCCTGCCGTATAACGTATGATTTCGCAGATTGGTAAAATGTTGTGCTTATCATTTACAAAGCAAACGTCAGAGAATAACCAGCCTCGATTATCCTCCTACCCAACTCCAGCGGGTGTTAACCGTGGTGTCATATTGTATAAAGTGACCACTGAAACTCAGTGATAACACCAGCTGTTCGCGCAAAGGGTAAGCCTCTTCTGCCTTAAGGGTAGCACCTTTATCAATTTTCTATGATCTAGCCTATGTTTATTTACTTTAGCTAAATAGTAAATGAGGTTTTTAAAGTAAGTCACTTTGGCGGGTTATGGGTTTTAATGGTGAGTATAGACATGTGGTTTCACGTACATATATATTTCATGAAAAAACAAAGACAGAATTTTCATGAACTGGATTGGTCAACAAGCTCAAAAGAACTTATACGAAGACCGCTCCAATATACATAGATATATGAAAAAGTATCATGACAAGAAAAGATGATATCTAAAATGAAAGTAGATGGTATGACATGTAGCCGGAAAATTAAAATCATGATGGTTGTATACATTCATGGCATAGACATGTTTGTATATTCACTGAGTAAAGTTAAAGTTGTCAATCTAAATCTTCACAGTGTTGTCAATATAAATGGAAGAGGAGCAACTTATTATCATGCCATCAGCAGGTTAGCTGTGTGTAATTAACCTTAGAATATGGCCGGTTAGCAACGGAAGCTTAACATTGTGGATGAGGTGCTGGATACTGAAGGTTGACCATACCTGTACCTGTACTGACAGTCAGTGTATGAGTTGAATTCATGCTGCAAGAGGCACTTGACCCTTGAACAGCGGCGAGACGGGTGGGCTGGCCATTGCCTCTGTCATGCTGCCTGGCCGTTGCTGCACTATCATGTCATTGCATATCAAGACATCGAATAAAGTGTTATGGACCCACTGATGGACTTCTGTGTTTGACGAGAACAATATCCCGACCATAACAGCCTGGGACACAAGTATTAACACCCATCGATATCTATATGATATAGAGATACAGCTAATATAAAATATATGCTGACTGATTACCAGCAGCCTCGGACGAACATGAGACAGTGCTGGACGTTCAGCAAACGCTGTCTTTGTCCGTAAATATAGATGGAAATCAGGGACTGAACGGGTGGAGCTTGTCATGAGATCAGCTACATCAAAGGCAAAGGCAAAGTAATTAAAGCTGTTGTTCCTAGAGTCAGTTCAACAGATTAGTGTACAGATGCATGCTGATTTTGTTGGCAGGATGTTTTTATGATATGTTAATAACGTGAGCTTTGTAAAGACATTTTCCATTTTAAAGACAGTTTGCGCTGAACGTTTATTTGTTTGCGGTGGGAGGGTGTTAAGTGGTCGTAGAGATTATTTTATTTCTATACTGTAATTGTCAGGTAACGCACACGATTGAAGCGGTTGTAAAATGTTGAGGGTTTTCAATTTAAGATTTGAGCAGCAATCACAATTTTGTCTAATCTATGAAATATGAAATCTTTGTTAAAGGTCATATGCAACGTAAAACACAACTTTGCAGAATCTGATACCTTTCGGTATGGACTTAGAGATACAAACCATCAAAAATGCAAATTCAACTTATCAAGTTGAAAAATAACGCGATGAAAAAAAACCCGCGAAATCGGAGTTCAAACAATTCACTATATTCACCCCGGCTCTGGGGTGAAAAGTTGTTGCAACGGCTGTGCTGCGCTGAGCTGGGCTGGGCTCATAGCGCATGCGCAGTGAATACGTTCTCGCAGTTTGGAAGCGGGATGATTATAAGGTCGTGAGCAGTAGTAGTCTAATAAAACAAAGAAAGAATACTAAGAAAGTGTAATCCAAAATATATCATATGTTAAATAGAAAATAATCTCCTTGTTACATAAAAGAACATTGTTAGGATCTAGATCTACTCAGCTATGTGTCAACCAGTGAGGCGTTTGACATCGGTGAGTACTCTGTGAAGGCTTTGATGTGAGCTATTGTTCTAATGTTTTGTTGATATTTCACAGGCGCGAGCTTTTTATATATTATGACAGTAGATTACCGATTTAACTGTTTACATAATTTCATTTGTCTATTTCACCACACGTTCATCTTACCAAATCACCTTCTCAGTTCGATGCTTAAAAGCAAACATTATTAAGCATTGACAGAATTTCTAACTGTGATATAGATATGTCTTTGTCACAGACAAAACTCAGTGTCTGTTTTATTGACACCTATGTGTCTGCCTGTCTGCTAATGACAATATGCAATACACAACTTCGATCACTGACCACATGCAATTTGAACTTATCAGGCTATACGCCATAAACAAAACGCATTGATTGATTTATGGCTTCTGCACCCGAGTTCTGTCTTTGTCACATTATGTAATTACACAGACAGGTGTGACACTTGTACACATGACATGATATGATGTCTGTTGATTGCAAATGTTATACACAAAAAATGAGTGAGTGAGTGAGTTAATATTTAACGTCAAATCGGCAATATCTCAGACACAAAAAATGAGCATGGAATTACAAAACCCAACATCTCAACACACACACACCCACACATACAATGGGCATCGGCAAATGAACCAGCCAATGAAAGACTTCGTTACAGACTCTCTGACTGGGTTCGGTATCCCGGGTGCTTCGTTTCAAAGGAAGTAACCCAAGTACAAAATATCGCACTTTTGATTTGCGATTGTACGCTTATAATTTTGTTTAAATTTTTTTTCATAATCAGCAATGTATATTATATGCCACGAATAAGTGATAATTGTGTTTTAATGATGTTTGATTTTTTGGTTGCATGTGACCTTTAAGGTGGAATGTTTGCTGAGAGTAAAAGCAATGACTTCAATGTACGATGCCATGAGCATGTACTTATGAATGACTATTGAACAGTGATAATACCGTTTGTTTGACATGCATCACGGGTGACATCCGTCACAAACACACACGGGGTAAATCAGTGCTGTCCAAATGACAAAAGCCATCAGTGAAAATAATCTAAAGACAACAAACACTTAGAATAGAAATTATTGACATATATTTGCACACGAAATAAATCACAGGAAAATTGAGAACCACAAGTTGAGAAGTCTGACCCGTAAACAGAATGGCATAAAAAAGATAAAGCACATTTAATCAAGTATATAATCATGAATCACAAGCTCCCAGAGAGTAAAATCGAAAATGGTTAAAATATTACAGTGAGTGAGTGCGTGAGTTCAGTTTTTCGCCGCTTTTAGCAATGTCCCAGCAATATCACGGCGGGCGACACCAGAAATAGGCTTCACACATTGTACCCACGTTGGGAATCGAACCCGGATCTTTGGCGTGACAAGCGAACGCTTTAACCACTGGGCTACCCCACCGACCTAAAACATTATAGAGGACAATTGACTACTGAAATCAATAGATGCTGTAAGAAAGGATGCGCTCACTAGTTAGCCTGTGATGATCACTGGAGATATTAGTACACTTTCAAGTCATCGCTCTAATAATATTCATAATCACGGCTGGCATCATTCACAAACACATAAGAGGTAAATCAATGTTGTTCAAATGACAAAGGCATAGTTCAGAAGTCTGACACGTTAACAAAATGACATAAAAAGATAAAGCACATTCAATCAAGTCCGTCATCATGAATCACAATTTCCCAGAGAATAAAATCGAAAATGGTTAAAACATTATAGAGGACAACTGACAGCTGAAATCAATAGTTCGCCTGACAAATGCTGAAAGAAAGGATGTGCTCACTAGTTTTGCATGTGATGATTTCTGTAGATATTAGTCCATTCTCATATCGTGCTTGTAATAATATTGATACATATTAGATACTGATGATATCGACTGAATTAGTAATGGGTATGTTTTAAATGAAAAGCCTTAATCACCAAGTAGCCCCTTTAACACACCCCATGTACATGTGCCTACAGAAACAGTTATCACTCGTTTTAGATCCAGAACTGAGAAGACGCAAGGGTTCCTTTTAACCAGCAACACATTTATCTACCCACGCCCAGATGTGTCAAGGACTTCATGTTTGTCTATTAATCAAGGAGCATATTGACTCACGAAATAACAATATGCGTGTTTGATTAGTATGATTCGTCATACTTATCTCCAATTCATTTGATACAGAAAGCGTCGGTCCTTAATTAGCAATCAGGTGTTTTACCAATGAAAAGTGGTGCAGCTAAACATCAAGGTAAATATTCATGATGGACGATCTAATGCGGTTGAGGCAAGTGCTGTATACGAAACACGGTATCGACCCAGTATTGAAAATCCCCCCAGCTATATCAAACATCTTTCTCGCAAATATAGAACTTCGTTTCAGACATCTCCCTGTCTTGCCACCGAAACGCATTGTCCCTTTTGCTTGCCACAAGGTAGTCTCTGTCTGCTGTGGCATTTTTCGGGTGACCTGGAGCCCAAGCGAAATAGGTCACTGGTCGACTGTCGTGGTATACCCACTGCCCTTCAGTTGCAGCATCTGATCCATCGATGAAGTAGCTAGTTGTGTTAGTATCTGAAAGGATTAAAGTATAATGTCACTACAGAGTTTGGAAAATGAAAAGGCCATGTTGTCAATATTCGTCTGGTGTCATTGCTTATTTTCAGTGGTCCATTTTCTTGGCCTTTATTACATCAAATGGATTTTGCTTCTGAAGACAATCAAGACTAGGAATCCTTTTGCATTGGGGCTCTATATTTGTACTAAGGGTGCATTGCGGCATTAAACTTTCACAACTTTATTTATAATTATTATTATTAATTTTGGAAAATGAAAGCGAAAAACCACTAGGAAACCCTTGGTTGGTAAAAGTTAAGGATATTTTAGATGGTACCGGATTATCGTATGTATTTGAAAACCCGTCCACTTATACAACCCAGTGTCTAGCTGCGCAGGTAGTCTAAATACTTAAAGACCAATTTATTCAAAAGTGGAGAAATGATGTTGCTTTAAGCTCAAAAGGATTTTATTATCAATACCTTAAAAAGAATCCACTATTTGAGACATTCCTATCTTCCTCAAAGCGAATCTCTATTCCATTATTAAGATTTATTACATCTAACCACAATCTACCAATAGAAACTGGCCGCTCGGAGAACATACAACGTTGTGATAGAACTTGTAAACTTTATCAATCTACATCTATTGCTGATGAATTTCATTATATTTTCAATGTCAAGTCTTTGGCATGCTAGAAAAATGTATTTATCATCATCCCTAACAAAGTATTCAAGTCTGCAAAATTTTATTTTCAACTAATGACACTAAAGAAATTATAATTAATTCATAAATAATTTGTATCAAAATTATCATCCTTATAAAAAACATAAACTGTTAGACAAGTTGCAGCCATCTTATATGTGCTTTGTATTTATATATACTATACTGAGTCAAAATAAAACTTCACACTTTATATTTGTAAATAAAACTATGAATTGTTATAATAGACAGTTTTCGGGTACCATAATATACATCCCCTAGTATCGACTCAAGAAAAACGTCACCACAGCACATTAAAAGTCAAACCAAACACCCCATAATAGTGCTAAAACGTGTTTTCACGTGCCACTGGTCACGTGATCTTATCATTGCACGTGCATTCGATCGCACATGTTCTCATCAACTGTACAAATTGAAAAACTCTTTAAGGCACTAACAAGAACAGCCAGTTCTTATGCCGCGCCTCTCAAATGTGCAGCGTAAGGTGAGCTAAATGTAGGCAGCGGGAAGGTCAGTAAGTGACAATGGGGTGCAACCGTCGAACTGTTTATGATTTTCAGACTCGACTGCAACAAACTGGCACCACTGCTGATCGCCCTGGTCCAGGTCGACCACGTGTGACGACAAATTGCGTTACGTCACCTCCGTAATCGTTTTTTGGTGAGTGAGTGAGTGAGTGAGTTAAAACTTAAAGTCACTTTGGCAATATTTCAGCCTTATCGTGACTAAAACAAGTTATAGATTAACAACAATTAAAGATAGATTATAAACCCCTGTCAACGAAGGACAGTAAACAACTAGAATATCACAGATATAAATGTAAAACTAGTAATTAAATCTAAAACATTTTAACTATAGAGGACAACACAATATACAAATAGGCTATAGATCGCCAACAACTGAAGGTAAATCACCATACTAGGGAGCATGGGGACTTTCAGTACCTTTGCTACCTGCATGGACCCTAGCTGGATTAACACCATCCCTTCAGTCGCCGGCGATTGTAGGCAAATTTAGCCGAATTTTAAAATAACAAAAATACTACCTAACGAATAAAATGTATGGTTCAGCTAAATTGACATTGAAAGTTTTGGGACTTACGTACCCTCTCAGGGGGAAAATAATTTTATGATATTTTAACCTAATCGTTTTTTGACGGTTACAGGAACCAGAAATGAGCTGTTTAGGGGTCGATTGTCTGCACAAAGCATCCGAAACCGGCTGCGAGGTGCTCTCCCTTCGTGTTCGACAACCATAAAGCAGTACCATTTTGAAGTCATTACATCGACTTCACCGTTTGCCCAACGACACCTTCGATGGAGACTGGAATGAAATGGAGTTGTCTTCAGATTCGCGATTCGTGAACGTTATGCTCAGTGTTGTGTACAGGAACTTGACAGATTTGGGGGCGGAAGTGTCATGGTTTGGCTTTCTGTGGGATTGCCGGTTCCCGAGTTCTGGTTATCCGTGGGAACCTTAATGTTGCAGTTCACCGCGACCATGTGCTAGCCCCAGAACTTATTCCATTCATGGCAGCACATGGTCCAGGTCTGCACTTTCAACATGACAATGCCAGACCCCATACAGCCAGCTTGACCAGGAATTACCTGCGGAACGCAGGGGTCAAAGTTCTTGACTGGCCGTCACGGTCACCTGACGATAACCTCTATACGACATTCTTGTGTCCTTTATTTTATATATTATTTAATATATGATTGTGAAGTTTCTAGTTGGATTTATTATATTTATTATTATGCATATGTTCCATTTGTTTCTGTATATAAAATAATTGTATTAGCTCTTGTACCACCAACCGTGGGTATTTGAGAATAAATGATTGATTGATGATTGATTGATTAAGAGGAAGTGGGATCAGACTGTACAGTCGTCATTCGGTCTCCAAATCAACTGTTCCAATAGCAGCTAGTTATTTAAACCCTTGATTAACCAGTCAGAGAATATTGCTGTTTCAACACTTCGGTACCATGCATACCAGCAGTTAGGTTACCCAGTCCTCTTGCAGATCGCCACATTTGTCGACATAGTTTTCATAAGCATTTTGGCATGTCATCTTTATGATATGTTTGCATGGAAAGTTATCATGTGAATCAGTTGCAGACTTTGCTTTATACATGACTCTGGTTGCTGAATGGTTTATTCTGTTAGTTTATTCTTCTTGATCAAATGTGAAAAGTCATGTGATGCGACATCCATCTTGGATTTAACATGTACAGTGCACACACGTTTTAGTAGAGTATGCAATTCCATATCGCTTCGTCTGAACCTGACCGCTATTACATTATTATTTTGATTGGTTGCCACCATGTTAGATTTTACATCTGATCTAATAAGGCTTCTAATAATTTTTGCTTCAAAATCTGTAATGGTTGTCGCGTAGGAATGATTGTAGGTTGACAATATGTTGCAACATCATATGTAACACATTCCGTTAGTAGATATATGTCAAACATATTGGTTTCTACCTGCTTCTGACCAGCCTACAGTACGACTCTATTGTGTCCAAGTTTGATGTGTCAAACTGACTTTTGTCTCAAAGTAAAAGCTTTGTCCCTTGGCATTCCTTATGTTGTTTATATGTTTACGGTTATGTCAAATCTCGTGTATGCGTGGGTGCTTTTAACTTCACGACAGTGTTTGAGGGTATTTTGACATGTATGCATAACATAACACAATTTAACAAATTTGTAAGTTACTCCACCATTCCACACCAGGAGACATCTACATCAGACAGTTTGTGTTTACTGCATGCAGTAACACCATGCCTGTGTGAACGGTGACACTGTCAAGGAATGTGGATCAAATTAATTCACCTTCAAGTAACCAATATTACTTATTTCTCGAATGCCACGTCATGTGTATGCACGTTTGACAAGTCATGGACTCGAAAGCATATATATATATAACTGGACAATTCTATAGCTGTCATATTTGCAGAAAAAAGAACAACAGCAAATCATCACATGGCCCCAGGACCTTACTAGATTGATCTTAGCAACAAGAAATACCAAACTGTTTTGAAGCTCTGCTCCGGAAACGAGCAAATCCACGTATTTGATTTAAACATAAACAATAATCATTTTCATCGCCCAAGTCAAACTAGTACGCGATCAATTTAACAATGGTAAAGCTGTACTGAACGTACTCTGTTTATAGTGTTGAGTCAGTTTAGTTTTGGATTACGCCTCGATAATTGTAATTGCAGTTTGTGTTTAGCAATTAAATTGGTACATGTGAAAGGTTCCTTTTTAATAACAGAAGACTGCATCTCACACCCTGCCAAGAGGATTAAATTCCCACCTGAAGAGGCTGTGACCTGCTTTACAAAGTGACTCTGCTTTTCCGGACTGTCAATGACAAGAAAGTGTTCTCCTCTTGAACTACAGTCAGCAAGACCGTAAGCGTAAAGGATCTTGTCGAGATGAAGTTGATAGCAGACATTGAGGAGACGGTTGTGGATGTAGCCGGTTGGACAAGCACCTGTGAAAGACAAGAACAATTATAATTTAGCTCGTGTTAGATTTATCTTGTGGTGGTTTAGTTGATACTTAAATCGTACTAATTAAGAACGAACAGAAGTCATAGAAACACCAAATATATTAATAATGTATATACAGTGTTAATGTGACGTCATGGCAACAGTTCCATAACTAGGATGTCGTTGTATCAAGAACGCTTATTCTTAATTATCACATTACAAAATATGTTTATTCCTCATCTTGTGTTGACAAATTCTTCTCCTTTTGGTCATCTCTACATGCACTCTTCCAGCACTATGGTGAGAGGGGTGGATAAGGTTGTCTGTGTTATCCTTATTTCATACAATTACAATGCATACCCCACCCCACCCACCCCCTCCACACACATACATACGTACGTACGTACACACACACACACTATGAAGTTATGGTGCTATCTGATGGCATTTAGAGACTTTTTTCTATAGAAATATCATTGATTGTTTTGTAACCTGTATATCAGCACAATTATATCTATCAACGCCACACACTGAGTACATGTACTGTACCTATAAATAAGTGAACAAAATTGAAAATAAAACAAGAAAAAAAGAACGCTTATTCTTTTATTCCAAGTAACTGTTTTAAACTGGCCCTAACAAATGATCATGCACTTGTAGCAAAGGAATAAAACAAAAACAAAAGAAATTTGCAATGTTGTAACTTACACAGGATTTTTGCTATCGCAAAACGCACCAGCATTGAAACGTTTTCATAAAAAAATGTCATTCTTAAATTCTTTCCTATACATTTTGCCTAAATATGGTATTGCAGTTCTCATTTTTTACAGATGATACGTAAATATTTCCATTTCTATAAAGCCGGCATTAATACATTAAGTCACAAGGCCAGCGACCAGTCAAGTCAGACAATTCTGAAGTCAGCCAGGTAGTGACAACGGGCAATTTAAGATCTTAAGTTGTTCTTGAAAGGCATTTAGAACTTGACACGTTTTTATGGATAACAGGGACGGTGGGGTAGCCTAGTGGTTAAATCGTTTGCTCGTCACACTGAAGACACGGGTTCGATTGCCTACATGGGTACAATGTGTGAAGCCTATTTCTGGTGTCCCCCGCCGTGATGTTGCTGGAATATTGCTAAAAGCGGCGTAAAACAAAACTCAGTCAGCCAGTCAGTTTATGGATAACAACTTCTATATTTTTATTTTTTATCAAGACATTTCAGAGCTAATACTTGCTCTTGCTCATGTATACTGAAAGTCAAAAGAAATGTTGTAATATTGGAAATGACATTTAAGTATCAATGGAACCTTTGAACCTATTTTTTAAAAATAATACGCCACTGAAATGCAGTACCGACTTTCATCAGAGAAGATAACCCCTCTCCATTGTCCCCCACGACAGTTTTGCCGCTGTTGTGTCAACTTGGATACGTTCCCGGCGGTGACGTTGGGTGAATATGGGTCTCCTGGCAGGACATCGACAAAACAGGTTCCTGGCTTGGAGACGTCGCCGAATGGTAGGTCACTGACTGGTCGCAGGTGGTTTCCTATGGTCACCCAAGCTGTTTCTCTGGCCCTTGCGAATAGGTCTTACACGTGTTGATGGACGATATGACGATCCTGGCGACGTGTTGTTACACGGGGTTGACCACTACGTGGACGGTCATCAGTGCTGCTGGTGGCGTTGTATCGCACTCTAAGACGTTCTATCGTTCGTACGCTGCAACTGAAGTCATTAGCAATGACTCGAGCATGTTGACCAGCGTGCAATAGCCTGTTGTGGTTGATCTCTCGTTAACCTAGTCATAGCTGCTGTGTTCAGAAAACAAGTGAACGATTGCCATTCAAGCCGGCAATTTATGCCTGAATACATTTATGATGCACGTGCATTTCGATTTCAATGTTGTGTTTGTGGGAACTTTTCCCTCTCCAAAAAACAAAAACATCTAATTCAATCTCAAACAATACTTTATTGGGCAATGCAGGCTATACGACCACGATTCATGTTTCCTCAAACTTGACTTCTGGTGTATATTTAAAAAAATAGGTTCAAATACTCCATTGATACTCAAATGTCATTTCTAATATTACGACGTTTCTTTTGCCTTTCAGTATATATGAATTAAATGTGTTTTTCAGACATCAGACTTAAAGCGTGTTCCATAATCCTAGTATTTCCCGATTGTCAATTATGACTGCACCGCATACAGACAGGGGAGACCTATTCGTACCTGACCGTTTTTAGTTGCATATTTATCTGTAAGTGACCCTATGGAATGCCTATTATATTCCTGCACAGGTTACCCTACTGATAACATTAAACATATGTTTAAACGTAATCAAATCTTTGTGCAGACATCTGGCTGAAATACCCGAAATTGCAAAAAAATTCTGAAGTGCATGAATACACACTGCTTTCTAGAAAGTGGTGAAGTGTAACTGTTACATACCATACATTTGATCTCAAGCTTTCTCATTAACGTACATATTCTACTACTAGAATCCCATCTGGGATTCGAGTGAGTGAGTGTTGTTTTACATCGCTTTTAGCAATATTCCAACATTATCACGGCCGGGGACACCAGAAATGGGCTTCACACATTGTACCTATGAGGGGCATCGAAACTAGGTCTTCGGCACCTAATCACTATCACACAGACAGCGATCTAACTCGCTCAGCCAACGTAGGTTCCCCACAAATAGACGTCCAATAACTGGTAGTCAAATCAAGACAAAGAACTTTGTGTACCCCTCTAACAATGTGCTTCAAAAAGTGCTGAAAAATATCGGATTAAGTACCTGAAGTAAAGCTGTAGTACACTGTTCCCGCCTCATCTTGTCCGTCCAGGGGCGACATGAACAACACATCATGGAGCTGACACCGTCGATGTTGTAGTCTGTAGAACACAGACACACACGCCTCGGTCATAAGACACAGAGACACACATGCAACATCGCTTCGAATGTTGGAAACTTCAGATAGGACGTCACTTGTTATTATGACATTTGTGAAGCTTTCCCACTTGTTTCCAAAACCTGTCTTGACTAAAGGCAAGGCTGGAGTTACAAGATAACTCAGTATTAGAATAATTAATCCACACTCCATAACGAATATAACGCGTCACGTCTTCCTTCTCCCACAGAGGTCGAGTAAATGATCAGTTATCCGATGTGCTGGCGCGTTATTTCGATCGCATTGGCTTTAAAGTAAACACTCACCCGTATCTGTTCCCATGCATATATAAATGGTTTCCGTTCGGGTTTTACGGCGTGAAAAAACAACAATAAATTGACTGATTTAAATATCATCACACACAATATGAAACGCTTTTTCAAAGAGAATTCAAAGCGGCTTTGCATTAAGGATACAATGCAGTGAATTGATATTTTGTGCATTCCTTAACATGTCCATATAAAGCATGATCTATAAATTCGTACACCTTCAGATGTTGCTGCGTTAAAGAACGAATACACATCGTGAGTAAGTTGATATTGAGCGTCACATCGGCAATATTGCAGCCATATCGTGACGAGAACAATTTAATTTATATCAATATTAAAATCAATAAATTTAGAACGTAAAAACCTGTCATCGAAGGACAGTAAAATTACAGCTCTTACCTTAAAACAAGTACGCTATCATTAAAAAAGTCACCAGAGACAACAGAACAAAAGACAAAAAACACAGAGACAAAAAAAAAGGGGCTATAGATCACCAGCAACTAAAGGTTGATCACCATACTAGGGACAATCGGGACTTACAGTACTTTTGCTAACTGCATGGACCCTAGCTGGATTTACACCGTCCCTTCAGCTGCTGGCGATTGTTGGAAACTTAAGCCGAAATTTGAAATAACAAAAATACTACGTTTAAGAAATCTGGTAATTTAAAATTTTACTTTGAAAATTTTGGGACATACGTATCTTCAGTTTTGACACTGAAATACTTATTCCTTGTTATGGAAAAATCAATGCAGTCAAGCAGGACATGCTTGACCGTAAATACACATTGTGACATACTTCCAGGTGCAACAGGACATAATTATTGTTTTCACGGACATCTAGTGTCATCACTTCACGTTTCATTGACCCATTCGTTGTTCTACGTTACATGCCCATTATAATATGTTTCATTATGGTATTTAGACTGATTATTGTCTAGCGTTGAGTCTGACGCTGTGAGGTTCGGTGGGGAAGTCCAGCGGTTAAAGTGTATGCTCATCGCCGAAGACCTGCTTGTACAATGTATGATTCCCCACATCGGTAGAATTTGTGAAGCCTATTTTAGTTACCACGCCGTTATGTTGCTTAAAGCGGCTTGAAACATTACTCACTCACTTATACAACTGTGTAGATTATGTGTTTCATTCGTTGCTACCTGATGGGTGTGAGTGAGTGAGTTTAGTTTTACGCCGCACTCAGCAATATTCCAGCAATATGGCGGCGGTCCGTAAATAATCGAGTCTGGACCAGACAATCCAATGATCAACAGCATGAGCATCAATCTACGTAATTGGGAACCGATGACATGTGTCAACCAAGTCTGCGAGCCAGACCACCCGATCCCGTTGAAGCTGACATGATACTGCATCTGTTGACGAGGACTAACACTTGCTTCAAGAGCTGCGTTCTGTTGAAACATTGTGATATAGATGTTTATAGGTTTCATCCGTATTATTTACAAAGTTAACGTCACAGATTAATCAGTTTTGAATTTCCACCAACACATATTCCAGGGTGTAAAAAGTTCAAAAAAAACTTTGGTGGCACTGAAAATCAGTGTTAACACCGGATATTCGCGCAAAGGGTAAGAGTCTTCTGCCTTAAGGGTACCACATTTATCAATTTTCTGTCATCTTGCCCACGTTCATTTATTTTAGCTAAATAGTAAACGAGGTTGTTAAAGTAAGCAATATTAGTAGGCACTTTGGCGGGTTATGGGTTTTAATAGAGAGGATGGACATGTTTGTAGATTCCCTGGGTTAAACACTTTTAAATATATTTTCTGCGATCTTGCCCATGTGTTATTTTATTTTAGCTAAATAGTGAATGGGGCTGTTTAGGTTAGCAAGTATTGATATCTAAAGCTAATTAACGACATATATAGATTCGGTTGATATATAATATATGATAATTGATTACCAGTAGCCTCGGACGAACATGGGACAGTGCTTGACGTTCAGCAAACGCTGTCTTTGTCCGTATATATAGGTGGAAATCAGGGGCTGAACGGGTGGAGCTTGTCATGAGATCAGCTACATCAAAGGCAAAGCGTGTAATAAAAGCTGCTCTTTCTAGAGTCGGTTCAACAGATTAGTGTACAGATGCAGTTTAGCTGATTATGTAGGTAACATGCTTTTTATGTTCTTTTACTACCGTGAGCTCTTTTGTCCATGATAATATCTAGTTGCCCATTTCCGTTTTCAAGAAAGTTTTCACTGAGTGTAACTTTATTAGTTTGAAGTGTGAGGGTGCTAGTTGGCAGTGGTTGTGTGAGTGGTAGTAGAGATTATTGTAAGTTTGTATACTGTGATTGTCAGGTGACTTAAATAATTGAAGTTGTAAAATACTGAGGTCGTTCGGTGTCAGATTCGTTCAGCAGACACAATAACATGGAATCGTCGCGTTAAATCTTTGATGTACTATTGAGTGAGTGAGTGAGTGATTTAAAATGTATCGTCACATCGGCAATAATTCAGCCATATCGTGACGAGGACAATTAATTGTTATACATAGTAATTAATGGCGAATTCTAAAAAAACTAGCAATTAAATCTAAAACAGATTATAATTATATGTGACAATACAATATAAAAACAGGCTATAATTTGCCAACAACTGAAGGTAGATCACCACACTAGGGACCATGGGGACTTACAGTACATTTGCTTCCTGCATGGACCCTAGCTGGATTTACACCATCCCTTCAGCTGTTAGCAGGTTTTGACAATATCGCCATAAATTAAAATGACATATATACTGCGGTTAAAAAAGTAGTAAGTATAAATTTACTTTGAGACTTGGGACTTACCATCCCTCTCAAGAGGACAATAATTTTACAGTACTTTAACCTCCTTTGAGGATATAGCCCTGAACATGTTCTTTTGAATCACAGCTGAATAGTGATGATACCTTGTGTTCGCCAAGCCTCACGGGTAGTGTTCGCCAAGCCTCACGGGTGGCATACGTCACAAACACATGCGGGGATAAATCAATGTTGTTCAAATGACAAAAGATGCTAATAGATGCAGAAAAAACAACAGGGTTTGTAAATCATTAACTGGTGCATCAGCAAATGCATTCAATACAGTTAATGCATCATAATTGGTTTTATGCGTCAGTCTGTTGTATCTGGATTGATTGAACTATTTCCAAATCATTTCATTCCTCACAAGCGAATTGACTTTTGAAATTAAGCGGATACAATTGCAAATGAATCAATCTGCAAGTTAGATATCCTGTATGAGTATATCAATATTTGACCTGCGCGTCGGGTGATGATTAAAGCTCATAATCTCAAAATAAGAGGTCTTATCAAGCATATCAGTAGGTGAGGGGGGAGGGCATGATGACATTGACGATGACGGTTAACCACCACCTCGTACGTGTTGTACTTTAAATGACATTCCTCAAAAGGGGTTAAAGTATCGTAAAATTATTGTCCTCCTGAGAGGATACGTAAGTCCCCAAACTTTCAAAGTTAAAATTAAACTTACTAGATTTTTAAACGTAGTATTTTTGTTATTTTAAACTGTCGGCTAAACTTGTCCTACAATCGCCAGCGGCTGAAGGGATGGTGTAAATGAAACTAGGGTCCATGCAAGTAGCAACAGCATTGTAAGTACCCATGGTCCCTAGTAAGGTGATCTGCCTTCGGTATTTGGCGACCTATAGCCTGTTTTTATATTGTATTGTCTTCGTAAATAAAATAGTTTTCAATTTCCATGCTAGTTTTAGACACCATCTGTGATACTCTAATTATTTTACAGTCCTTCGATAACTGATTATTTAACAACTTACATTAATTGTGTATGCAAAACGTTTGTCGTCACTATATGGCTGAAATTTGCCGGTGTGACGTTAAATTTTAACTCACTCACTGACTCACTAAATGATATTAAAAAGAGTGAGAACCTGTTGGGTATTGTTGCATACATTGTCTACATTGAAATAGTTGAGTACATGACAGCTACCATGATTTTATGTCATTATAATTCAAAATCTTGAAGACATTTTATACATCAGGGGTTGAGAAGAACCGATATTCATTAGTATTCGGACATGAGTGAGTGAGTGAGTTAAAATTTTACATCGCATCGGCAATATTACAGCCATATAGCGATGAAAACAAGGTAATCAATTTAAATAGCTGTCGACAAAGGACAGTAAAACAACTAGAATATCACATATATAAATGTAAAACTAGTAATTAAATCTAAAACATTTTAACTATAGAGGACAATACAATATGAAAATAGGCTATAGATCGCCAACAACTGAAGGTAGATCACCATACTAGGGACCTAGTTGGATTAACACCATCCCTTCAGCCGCTGGCGATTGTAGGAAATATTTAGCCAACTTTAAAAGAACAAAAGACTACGTTTTAAAAATCAGGTAAATTTAAATTGACATTGAAAGTTTTGGGACTTACGTACCCTCTCAGGAGGACAATAATTTTACAGTACTTTAACCCCCTTTGAGGGTACAGCCACTAACAATCTAAGTTACTAATCTAAACTACCATTCTTAAAAATATAGCTATTTACAAAACACATTACTCAAAATTCATCAAATAAATCAATCTCTTTTAAAAAAACAATAATTAAATGAAAATCAACATTTGTAAAAAGATCCTTCATTGTTTTTACATTGAAATATTTATCCCTTATGATTGGGAATTCAACACAGTCAAGCAGGACATGCTTAAACGTGGTTCTCTCATCACAAGGAATACAAAACGGAGGATCTTC